CAATGTTTAAAAGAAAACTGAGAGCTGTATATGCCTACATTAAGAAAGAAGAATGATCTCAAATCAATAACCTAAATTTAGACCTTATGGAACTAAAAAGAGCAAACTTAACCCAAATATAGCAGAAGAAAGGAAAAAATAGAGTGGAGAGAAATGAAGTAGAGAATAGAAGAACAACAGAAAAAGTGAACAAGACCAAAAGTTTTTCTTTGAAAAGAAATTTGACAAACTTTCAGCTACAAGAATTAAGGAAAAAAGAAGATTCAAATGACTAGAATCAGAAATGAAAACAGGGACATTACTATCTCTCTTACAGTAATTTAGAAAAAAATTTAGAAGAGAATACTAAAAATAATTGTAGGCCAACAAATTAGACCACCTAGATGAAATGAACAAACTCCTAAAGTTGACTCAAGTAGAAACAGAAAATCTGAATAGACCTATAACAAGTAAATATTGAATAAGTAATCAAAAACCTACCAAGAAAAAAAAATCCCAAGATGGTGTTACTGTTGGGTATATGCCCAAAAGCAAGGAAATTCTCCCAAATATTTAAAAGAAGAATACCAATCCTGCTTAAACTCTTGTAAAAAAATGGAAGAGAGGAGATCACTTTTTAACTTCCTGAGGGAAAGGAAAATGAGAAATGATTGCTGAATGGATATGGGATTTTACTTGAAGGTTATGAAAAAATTCTGAAACTAGATAGTGGATGGTTGCATAACAGTCAGTGTAGTTAATGCCACAAAATTATATACTTTAAAAAGTGGTTAAAAAGGCAAATTTTATGTCATATATTTTTCCACAATAAAAACCACTGTGGTGAGTTTTAAAATGTAGACATGAAAGAGTACATATTGTATAAAATGTCCAAGAATGTGAATATGAGAGATAAAGTAGAGCAGTGGTTGCTTAGGGCTGGGAGGATTGGAGGGAAACTGGAAGTGACTATAAATGGTCACAAGGTTTACTCTTAGGATAATGGAAATGTTCTAAAATTAGATTACGGTGATAGTTACACAACTCTGTAAGTACATTAATATTCAATGAATTGTTCTCTTATTATGAGTTAACTTTATGTTATGTAAATTATTTCCCAATAAATTAGTTTTTTAAAAAAACTAGATGGTTGGCTCTCAAGTTGACCAGAAAAGTATCAAAGTTAGCTTATACCAATCACTGTACTTCTGCAGAGCAGATAAAGTCATACATTCAATACAATTAGCCAGTAAAGCTGACAAAAAAGAAAGCAAACTTATCAGCTTTTAGTATTTGTATGTCATAAACATCATTTTCTTACATATGGCTCAAATGACTCAAGTTTGACACACAAATTAAAGATTCAAAGATGGTAAGGAAAAGGCAGGCTATGACCAAGTTATAATAGTCTATGCACAAGTTTTATGCATGTTGTCTTTGCCCAAGAACACAAAACGTATTTTATGAAAGGCCTAAATTATATGTAGATTACACATAATTTGCTTAATTCTTGGCAAAACTATTTGTCTCTCATTGCAAAGACTGATTTTCTTTTCCAAATGGCATAATGTATGGATGAGACATTTGTTTCTATCATATGCTTTTCCTTCTTTTTATAATTAGCTACAAAAACACAGAGTCCAACGGGACAGTGAATTATAACCTGTATCTACTAAAACATCATATTTATGTTGTGAGTCGGAAAGTAATCCTTTCCTCTGACCATCTCTCTCAATTTAGTGAGTATTAAAGCAAAGCAAAAAAGGAAAGAATAAAAGTAATTTCAAATTTTGAGTGATAGCATGACTGGGGCTGAAATTGACTGTAATATCACAGTTGGTTCAGTGATAGATATAAGAACGAGTAAATGAAAAGCCCCATTTCATGCATCATGTAGCTGTGAACTCCTACCAGGGTCAAGAGAGGTTAGCCAGGAACTCAAGGTACTCTGAACTGTGTTATTTTTCTTTACCACCTAATTTGCTAGAAAAAGTTACCATGAATTATACTGCCCAAAAAAATTAAAAGGCAGACTATCTACATAAAAGTTATTTTCTTGGAAACATTTTCAATAAATTGCTACCACAGCATCTTTGTTATTATTTCTATTTTATTTTGTGAGCAAATAGAGATATGACTTCCATAAAGCTAGATACTCAATTAGAGATGGCTAGAACAAGATGTCAAACGACAGCCTATAGGCGAGATCTGGCTTGCCGCCTGTTTTTGTAAATAAAGTTTTATGAGAACACAGTAATGCTCAGTCATTTACATAGGGCTATGGCTGTTTACATGTGACAACGGCACAGTTGAGCTGTTGCAACAGAGACCTCTGGCCTACAAAGCCTAACATATTTACTATTTAGTTCTTTAAGAAAAAGTTTTCTATCCACTTCTAAAGAATTAAAATTCAGTGGGCTGTTTATTATACCACTTATGCTAATATTTCTTGTCTCAGGACTAGTCAATTTGATGTGAGAAACATGATGTAGTCAAGAGAATGCAGTACTAAAGACAAAAACAAAAACAAAACAAAGCAAGAATTATTTTTGTGGCTGTGCTACTTGCCATGTGACCCTGGGAAAGTCACTTCACCTTTCTGGATTTATTTCCACACCTGTAAAATAAGGGATTTGAACTATATGAACGCTAATCATCCTTCCAATTAAACTATTATAGTCTATAAAACTTACTTTACTTTTAGATTAGAAAATCAGTAGTAAATGTATAAAAGTTCTTAAATTATTATATTTTATATTTCTCCATGTAGACAAAAATCTTTGAGTTGCTTTAAATTTAATCATAAAACCACATTAAAAGTGACTAGTAGTATCCCAATTTTATAGGTGAGAAAATTTAAGGCTACAGAAAGGATAGTGACTTGTATAACGTTACCAGCATGTGCTTAATCTTTTGCTGTCTAGTATAGTGTTGACAACATGGCACATACAAAATCAGAGGCCATGAACTATAATGCTTACAGAGCAAGGCAGACAATGTAAATTGTGGTTGGTTTCTATGATGAACCAGAGAAGGTATGTTCTACTTAAAGGGAGCAGCCACCACTCAGAGCCAACTACTGACATATAGGCATGTGGGTCCAGTATTGCCAGGTCTTTAGATTTTACAAGAGGCTGGATATCCTGAATATTATTTTAAATATTCCAATACTTAAATGTTGGAAAACTGATTAAAATGTTTAAAAATAGAGTGGGTTGGATTTGGCTCATGGATGACAATTTGCAAATCTATAGTAAAGCAACTTTTTAATTTGACAGATTTGTGCACTAGAATATTCTGATATCTCAACCCTACAATATACTGATATCTCAACTTCACCATTAACTTTTATTACCCAAAGTAATGGAGGATAGGAGAGATCACAACATCAGTGTTATCGTAGTTTCCACTGAATAATCTATTCAAAGTGTTCATAGTAAAATCAAATGATTGAAAAAAATGTTTCTCTTTATTTCAGGCCTTCTGGTGAAGGTATTAACAAATAGACAAAGTGTAAACAGGTCATCAGGAAAAAGGATAGTCCTGGATAATACAGAAACCAACAAAACAACCACAACAACAATAAACAATCTATTCTTAAGTAATTGAGATTAGCTGTATTTACATGATGGGAAATTTGAACATGATTAATTCATACTGAGGCTTGTAAAATAATAGGGATGGGTAGCAGTTATTGATTGTAACTTTTAAAATATATGACAATTAAGAAAAGGAATTTATGTTGTCAGCTTTTTTTATTGAAAGCCATTTGAGAATACTGTACATGCTTTGACAAACAATAAACTAAGCTATATTAATAGTAAAGCTCTGACCTACTTGTGATTACCAATAGGATCAATAAAATGCTTAACTTTTCCATTCAAAAAGTCATAGAGTTGGCAATATTTCATTATTTGTCTTTTTGAAGTAAACATTAAACCAGGTAGGAAAAGAATGGAGAGAAAAATGATAATGAGTACTTCTTGGGAATATTTTTGGCTTTAATAAAACAATAGCACCACTAATTATTCTTCCACAAGGCACTATGATTTTGAATCTGATTTTGTCAGCTACTTATTATTTAAAAGTTTAAATGAAATAATTCATATGGTAATAGGAGAAACACTTTAGGTAAAATGAATTAACTTCCCTCATCAGCTTCAATTAAAATATTTTAAAGGGCCGGGAGCGGTGGCTCACACCTGTAATTCCAGCACTTTGGGAGGCTGAGGTGGGTGAATCAACTGAGGTCAGGAGTTCAAGATCAGCCTGGTCAACATGGTGAAACTCCATCTCTACTAAAAATACAAAAATCAACTGGGCATGATGGCAGGCGCCTATAATCCCAGCTACTCCTGAAGCTGTGGCAGGAGAATCGCTTGAACCCGAGAGGTAGAGGTCGCAGTGAGCTGAGATTGTGCCACTGCACTCCAGCCTGGGGGACAAGAGCAAGACTTCATCTCAAAAATACATATATATTTTAAAGGTATCTTCCCACAAGAGGAAAAAAACTTCCCAAAAAATAAAGTGAAATTTTAAAGAAGACAACACGAAGAGAATACTCTTAAATCCTTGACGAAAGTAGTAATGCTATGCTAGCATGTTATTGTAACATGTTTAAAAGTAGGGATTTCCTCCGCAAACTTTGTAGGTCACCTTCACTTTTGCCTTTCTTCAGATCAGAAGCTCTCCTATATACCCATAACTTGGAAATACCTTAACTTACAGTATCAGGTCTTTTAAAAAGAATAAGTAGCCCACTTACATTCATAATTACTTATTATTTAAATTATACTGCATTTATGTGAAATGATGGGAACCCGTATTAAGTGATAAAGTGTTCATAAAAGTTGGACAAATAATAATGTGCCTGTCCCTGAGTTTCCTTATCTCTAAAATAAAGATAGCATTGCCATGAGAATTAACTAAATTGTGTAAAGTACTTGAAAAGAGTTCATAACACATAGTAAGTTTTTGATAAATGTTAGTTCTTATTATTATACAATAAAACAGTTACTCACTCTTTTGTTGAGACAAATAACAGGCCATAGGCTGCAACCCAGTGTGCAACAACAGCAGAGACAACCACATAGCAGCCATTTCACATTGACTGGGAGAGCCTTTTTCAAACATGCATTCACACGGCCAATGCTGGTCTTAAATTCTTCTGGGGCCACCTACAAGAGCGCACAATCTTTAACAGTTTGTGGGCAGCTTTTATTTCTAAATCTAAGAAAAATGTTTATTACAAATAATTTAGGGAATCACAAATATCTAAATAGGTATATTCCCCATAAATATGTTCACACACTCATGGATGATGTTGAAAAGTACAACAACATAATTTCATGCTCACAGAACTTAGCCTGATGTTGAAAAATGATCTTCTGAAAGAACCACCAATTAAATGACTGCAACAAAATTGATTGAAAAGGATAACTTTCAAGCAGTTTTCTTACCAAATATTCTCATTATTAAGGCAGTATAATTGATAGTGTCCAGTCATTCTGACTAAAAGTTGAGTAAGACTAGAAGCATAATAGAACAATAAAAAATCCAAATACTGCTAGATGGAAAAGCAATTAAAATTAGACCTTGGCAATACTCCTAGATTACTTTGAAAAAGGCAACTTTCAAAACCTTTATTCCCTGGCAAATTTTCAACATAACAATTTTAACATTAGCCATTGTTTGAAGGGAATAGTTAGACTAACAAAAGACAATGTCTAATGATTGCATTCAAAATGACTTGTTAATATTCCATATAAAAAGAACTCATAACTACTGTAAATTTTCAAAGTTGAAAGATCTTTATATACTCAAGTTTAATTTAGTTACTATCACCATTCCTGGAAGTGGCTGCTGGTACTTCTCTGCAAACAAGGACAAAGTCAGTTCAAAGGCATGCACATGACTGGAATAATAAGATTTATATCCAAAAATCTGCTTGAAGGTTATACAATTCAAAAGTATACTAAAAATAGTTTGCTTTCAGTGAAATCACATTTTTAGATTACAAAAATGATTCCCCTTCATTAGAAAGCTGTCAGACTATAAAGGTTATGAAAGAACTTTTAGCATCTAGCTATAAATGCAAACATTAAGAAACTGTTAGGAAAAGTAAGCTGTTACAAAATAAAAACTGCATTAGCACAGTAGGAATAAAAAATATAGAGTTTTACTACTTTTCCAAATAAAAATTGTACTCGAGGAATCGATTCATTACATTTTTGTCTCTTAAGAGAGATGTTTTAGAATCAACACTACAAAACATACACCTATTAGCAAATGTTTTAAAGATACACGATCACAGAATTCAGCACTGAAGTAAGTTATACATTAAGTATATAAGCTTTATTAGAAGCTTTATTAGAATTGTTCATGTCACTCAGTAAGGTTAATTGCTTAGCCCATAAATCTGATTTTCTTACTAATATGTTAACAAACAACATAAGCTCAAAACTTTGTTTATACAGAATTTTATTCTCCATTTAGACTGTCAGCAACATGATGTAAAGACAGTCACTGTGTACAACGAATTCCAATTATATAACAAAATTTCTAAGTATGAAAACAAATTCAGAGAACTACACCTTATAATTGAAATTAGAAAACACTAAAAACTTAAGAGCACAAGAGTGCACTAAGCACATTAAACTAAGACAAACTAAAAATGCTGAAAAACAGATAGAGAGACCTGGATTATAGTAACTTACTAGCTATAAAAAATCCCAGGCAAAATCATTTAATTTTTCTGAGTTTCAGTTTCCTACCAATAATATGAGAATAATAATCTTTGTTTTCTATATCTCACAGAAAATACAAATTAATTCTTGGAAATAACCTCCTAACTGAAAAGCCTTGAAAAAGAAAGTCCATGAATCATGCCTCTGAGATTTGGAGAAAGAAAAGAAAAAGCTATCTTTTGCATGAAGTCTCACCTGAAAGCAATGAGTTTACTCAGGTAAGTATTAATATTCCATAGTTTTCCTTTATACTATATTATAAACAAAAGGATAACTTGCTTATAATCTGCTACACATTGAATGCAGATTCAATGTTCTTTAATTCTTCAGCAAAAAAAAAAAAATCAAGCTCTTCTTTCTAAAAACAAGGTATCAAGCTGCTATCTTAAGATTTATTCTCCAACAGAAATATTCAACTTTTTTCCTAGAGAATAATTGAGCAACCAAATATAAGTGAAAATAAAGGAAAAATATGTACATATTTAGCTCTAATCTGTAATATTACATTACTTCAACTCTCTTTAAATTATGTATCCAGAATCACTAACATATTTTTTTAAATATGGTAAATTTTGACATAAACTCATGCAAATCATAAAATTATTAAATCTGTCCATTTACAAATTTAAGTGCTTGTAATTAGAATTTACATTTATTTAAAAAGGACAAACACAGATGAAAAAAAAAAAAACTAAAAGGTACAGAAATGAGTCAGTTCCAAAGAAAAAAATATGTTTATAAGGAGCTTTGGAAAAGAAAGCTCAACTTCTACCAGGGATGAATAGTGTTAGAAGACTGAGGGAGACAAAAGCTAGGGAAGAGAAAACTGGCTTTTTATTTCAAACATTGTGAATAAAATAAATTGTATGCTGAAGTATATAAAACATGTTATAAAACTTGCCTTTTATTATACGCTTCTGGAATTGAAAACAAAAACATTCCTAAAAATGTGGTCATTTTCCTTCTTTCCTGCCAACACTTTCTTCTTTTTAACATATAATAGTCTCAATTTCTATTTTCTTACCATAAACAAACTAAAATATTCAAAGTTACTAAAAATGAGAATTCAATTTTTTTTGAAGTCAAAAGACAAATATATTGAAAAGAAAAGCTTTTATTAGAGTTTCAAACAACAAACTAAAGTCTGCATTTTGACTTTAAAAGGAGGTCAGGACTATCTTTGAAATAAATTTGTATTTGAGTAGCAGTAGAAGTCATAAAACAGAGCTAAAGACATAAGAAGAGAGAATTAGTCAACTCAATTTTAAACAATGTGAAAGAAATGTTTAGTTAACTGTGTAGAATCAGAGTTAACATTTTACTCATTTATTTTCATAGAATTGAGTGTCTCTAGCAATGAAGGTCAGACAGCAGAAGACCCTTACTTTCTAGCTGAGCAGTGGGTTGTAAAGAAACATTTCATTTCTTTTGGCTTTCTTGGAATGAAAAAAGAAAACCACACCATAAAGGTGGTTTAAAGGGTCATAATATTTTATAACAGGATGCAGGAGACTCTGTAAACAGAAGAAAGTCTAAGCAAACCCCAGCAGGACTGATGTGCCTTCTTCACTCATGGGGAACACAACCCTATCAATCAGTTGTCATACTGTATCACAATAGTAAAGGTTGACTTTTATTGCTTCCAATCCCTGAACACTGCACACTAGTCTCCCCATAACAGTTTAATTGTTTCAAGCTGAGGGCCAAAAGCTTTAATTTCTTTTCTAAAGTTCTCTGGTCACCAGAATCTGTGTGGATATACCTGTTTGATATGAAATAGGGAAAACAATCTTTTCTGCACTTAATATAAAAAGTTATCTTTTTCTTTGCATCAAAAGCATTAACACATAAGAAGCAAAAAATTAATATTGAACCACAGAGTTTGTCAAACATTTTTTTAGGTTTTCAGACTCTCTCTGCAATTTTGCTTAACTTAGGCAGGTATAAAAGCCATTTAGAATTGCATTCATACTAGAAGACTGATTTTGTAAAAGGTAGAGTTTTTTTCTACTTTAGCTATCACAGTTATTCATTTTAAGATGTTTTAATACAAGAGCTGTTAAGTCTGGAATTTAGACCTTTTTCTCCTCAGATGGACATTAATTCTTTTTGCCTTTTCTCTCCAGTTATCTGAGAAGCATTTTGATAATTCAAAGAAACTTTTACAAATGAAAGTGCCTATTGGAGAAAATTATCTCATTAAAGAGAAACTGAATAAAGCTGTTACCATCATGTGACTTTTAAAAATCACATTTTCAGAATTGCTTTTAGTGTTTTTCCCATCACCAAACACAAGCTAAGAAAAACTTCAGTTATAATTTATGCCTTATCCAACACAAGATAAATTTTGTATACTCTATATATAATGTACATTTAAATAAATATCAAGTCATTATGATAATGTGCTACAAAAACAATAACTTGAAAAGAACAAATATCTTTATGAGCAGCTCATATCCAGATAATTTAGGTTGTGTGAATGCATACCAAAAGCAGCTTATCATTCTTACTCCTCTAGTTTAAAACAGTCTACTACCTTTTAGGCCAGTGAAATTTTTAGTTTCAGAAGGCTTGTAAAGAAATGAGAAGGTGTGAAAATATATTCTGAAGATTTCTTGAGCATATAAAATTGGCCAATTTCACAAATGGATAATTTGTATGCCTGAGAATTCTATTCACTGACATATTTTTTAGATTATTCATTTTCTAGATTTTCTTGGACCTGTATTTCAAAGTAACACAATAGTAAAGTTGTATATAACTACCCATAGAACACATGCAGCAGCGTCAAAGGAAACATGAAGAATAAGTTTTTTACTGAAGTTCTTATAATTCACATTCTCTTTAATTCTAATAATGAATTTACTATCTTTCTACAAAAATACATTATTATTCAAGATATATTTCCATAGCTATTTTATTCATTTGAAAAAAACATTTATGATTAATTCACATAAAACAAATCTAAGTCTAGGCTGCTGCTTCAATTGGTAAATTATTCGAAATGATTAGGATAGGAAGGTAGAACATACTAAAGAGTGAGTCCAAAATCTCACACCAAAGGGTTCTTTGTGTCCTAAAATGTTAAATGGCCACATATTTTCTAAGGCTAACTTAGCCAGGACTATGATCACCTGTTAGTATTCTGTGGAATGATTTGATATTATACATCAGAAGAGACAGAAAAGGTCACCAGTCAAAAGAACAAATTAGTGGTGAGGCCAGACAATAGATTATTACTTAGATAAAGAAAAATTGCAAAAGCAATGAAAAGTTCAAAGCCAGTGAGTAGAATAAAAAGCAACAAGGGTGACACTACAATACAAGGATAAAGAATAGTCAACAGCAACTACAAACTAACATTGGGAGGCTAATAAGTACATGACAAAATACTAGAAATTTTATATATGCTCTCTTATTCAACTCTTAAATTTAAAAGGGAGGTAACTAGCAGCATCATCTCTATTTTTCAAATAAGAACTGAGGCTCAGAGAAGTGACTTGCCCAAGGTTACACAGTGACAGAACTTGGATTCCAACCCAGATTTGACTGCAAAACTTGTTTAACTACTTACTATATTCTGTCTCAAGCTACCTCTCATTTTTCAGGGGGAAAATGAAGTAAATAAAGTGTAGTGTACCTTTCAGGGTTAAATTAAACAGAATTTCTTATGATTTCAAAGATACTACTTGAAAAAAGAAATAGGTCTGCTGTCTACTCCCTCAAAGAGGCAGGGGGGAAGAGGCCAAAAGCCTCTAGTGATTAGGCCAAAAGCAAAGAGTACACAGTTGGAAAATGCATAACAAAAACAAGCAAATGTCAGTAGAATCATCTTATCTGGTTCTCAAAGAGTTTAGAACAAGAGACAACAAATTAAGAATAATTTAAAGTTCAAAAGGCAATATATTCACATGGTTTAAAAATGAAAGCAATACTAAAAGATATTCAGAAAAGTCTCATCCTTACCCTTGCCTCCATCCATCTCATTCTTCTTCTCCCATCAAAGGTAATAACTTTTATTAGTTTCATGTGTATCTCTCTAGAATTTCTTTATGTAAAAATACATTTATTAATGGGCTTACTTCTTCAATTTCTTATACATACTAAACACACTGAGTTTCATTTTGCTTTTCTCACCAACAATATGAGAATAATTGACACTACAATAGAATAAAAGCCTGTTAGATAATGAGATAATTTTAAAACATGACCAAAATCTATACTGACAAATACCATTATTCTAATACTAAAATTAAATATATTAAATTTAAAGGTTCCAAAATGCAAAAAGTTACCTTCCTTTAACCCTTAATCATCTTTTTAGCTACCCCAAGCATTCAGCTATTAACCATCTGGCAATGATTGAGTATTCTGTAGTATAACAGTTTTTTTCTCCTCTTCTACACTTCCTCAAGTAACAAACATTTGTAAATAACTCTTTGCCTTAGGCAGAGCCTTCTCCTTTGGGCATAGAAAATTCACATTATTGTCATAAGATGATCTTCCAAATATAGTTTCTTTTTAAAAATTGTATATATTTAATGTGTACAGCATGATGTTTTGATCTACATGTACACAGTAAAATGATTACTAATCAAACACATTAGCATATCCATCTCCTCACAGTCACCTTTTTGTTATTTTGTGATAAGAACATTTGAAATCTATTCTCAGCAAATTTCTAGTATACAATACAATATTATCAACTACAGTAATCAGACTGTGCATTAGGTCTTTATAGTTTTAAATCCTAGTAAATCTTTGAATTTGCTAGAAAATACTATGCAATGTAGAGGAACCGGGGAACAAAAAAGTACTTATTACAGTGAGTCCAATCTTAGAAACTCTAACTATCAAAAGTCAGAAAAACATGTAACCAAAAGTTTAATTATTTTCATATGTAAGAAATCATACCATATGGCACTTTAAAAATAGAGTGATACAGTTAAAAAATAACTTTTACTCTAAAAACACTGAAAATTAATGACCCAAATAAAAACAATTATAGCTACCTTTGCTAAGAAAAAAACATGCAAAAGTGAAAAAGCTGAATGGATAAATAAATAATGGCTAGCATTAATGGACAATGAATAAAATAACTGGTCAGAGGCTGGTAGCCATGGCAACAGTTTTCAGACACTGTAAACACAGCTTCCAAGTATTGAGGCCTCCTATTATTTGACTTCATTAACAATGATTCAAAACATTTGTCATAACAATGAATAAACCATAAAGCCATGCTTTAGAACTGAATAGTTCAAAGCAAACTCTCACTTACCTTCCCTGTTAGAACGGAGGGAAATTCAGTATCAAACTTGTTGCTCAAGCCAAACCTTCAAAATAAAGACAGAACAAAATATGTGCCACCCAGCATATTTAACTCTTTCCTTTTTATTTCTTAAGTTATAAACCCATGCATTTTTCTCTTGACCTTCTGATTTAAAAATGTGCCCTGAAAAATTTTTATATTAATCCAAACTTACAGGTTTTTAAAAGCTTAACAAAAAGCACACATTAAAGTGGGATTCTAACTCAACCTATGATGTAGGATTAAAAAATAAGTTAGAGAAACACATACAGAGCTAGAAATGTCAATTTTTAACTGAAATGTTTCTGTTAAAACCTACTTTAGTTGATAACTGCTGGAGCTGGATTATGGGTACTATGTAGTATTTTATTATACTGTTCTTTCCACTTTTGTATATGTATGCAAATGTTCCTAAAAAAACCCTCCCCAACTAATACAGCCTTTAGAACTATAGAGTATGACCACCTGCGACCAGTTATTATTCAGATACTCAAAGTTTGATCCTCATGAATGGCTTCCACGTCTGTGCTCAACTAATTTTGAGAAAACAAATCCCAGACTTGAGAACTCTCTTTTCCAGGACACTCAGTAAAATCTGCATTAAGAAGTCAAAATGAATTTTGTAAGGCTTTGCTCACTTGTTTGTTGATTTCAGGAATAACAAAGGCCACTTCCTGAATGTTAGATGATACTATTTCATATTGACTACAATTTTACATTAGTGGAGGATAGGTTGTAAGCAAAAAGGAAAACACAATGACATTTGTTGAGAACTCCAAATGAGGTGGGCAATAACAGTAATGGCTACCAATAACTATGTACTTACCATGGGCTAGACACTGTGCTAAGTAAATATAGTCAAATGCTACATAACATGTTTCAAAGATAGAGTACATATATGATGGTGGTCCCATAAGATTATAATGGAGCTGAAAAATTTCTATTACCTAGTTTTGTCATAGCCCTTGTAATGTTATAGTCATAACACCATAATATAATGCATTACTCACGTTTGTGGTGATGCTGGTATAAGCAAACTTACTTTGCCACCAGTCATAGAAAAGTATAGCACATATAATTAAATATAATACATAATACATAAAATAATAACAAATGACCATTACTGGCTTATGTGCTTATTATATTATGCTTTTTACTGTTGTTTTAGAATATATTCCCTCTTGTAACAAAAGGTTAACTGCAAAATAGCCTCGGGTAGACCCTTTTAAAAGTATTCTAGAAGGTATTGTTATCACAGGAAATGATAGCTCCATGAGTGTCATTATTTTCCCTAAAGAGTTTCAAATGGGATAAGTTGTGAAGGTGGAAGACAATGATTTTGATGATTGTGACCCTGTGTAGGCCTAGGCTAATGTGTGTGTCTGGGCAATCATTAAAAATCTAGAGATAACAGATGCTGGAGAGGATGTAGAGAAATAGGAATGCTCTTACCCTGTTGGTGGGACTGTAAATTAGTTCAACCATTATAAAAGACAGTGTGGTGATTCCTCAAGGATCTAGAAATAGAAATTCCATTTGACCTGGCAATCCCATTACTGGGTATATACCCAAAGGACGACAAATCATTCTATTGTAAAGACACATGCACACATATGTTCATTGTTGCACTGTGTACAATAGCAAAGACTTGGAACCAATCCAAATGCCCACCAATGATAGACTGGACAAAGAAAATGTGGCACATATACACCATGGAATACTATGCAGCCATAAAAACGATGACTTTGTGTCGTTTGTAGGGACTTGGATGAATCTGGAAACCATCATTCCCAGCAAACTGACACAAGGACAGAAAACCAAACACCACATGTTCTTTCTCATAGGTGGGTGTTGAACAATGAGAACATGTGGACTCAGGGAGAGGAGCATCACACACTGGGGTCAGTTGGGAGGGGGTTAGGGGAGGGACAGAGGGGAGGGGGGAGGGTAGGAGGGATAACCTGGGGAGAAATGCCAGATATAGATGAAGGGAGAATGAAGGTAGCAAACCACCTGGTTATGTATGCACCTGTACAACAATTCTAAATGATCTGCACATGTACCCCAAAACCTAAAGTACAGTAAAAAAAAAATTATAAATAGAAAAAAAAGCTAAAAGAGTAAGGATATAAAAAATATTTTTGTAAAGCTGTGCAATGTGTTTGTGTTTTAAGCTAAGTATTATTTCAAAAGAGTCAATGACTTTATAAAAATTGAACAGTTTATAAAATTAAAAAGTTACAGTAAGTTAAGGTTAATTGATTATTGAACAAAGAATAGCATTTGAAAATAAACTTAGTGTAGCCTAAGTATACAGTATTTACAAATTCTACAGTAGTATACAGTAATATCCTGGGCCTTCACATTCACTTACCACTCACTCACTTACTCACCCAGAGCAACTTCTGGTCTTGCAAGATCTATTCATGGTAAGTACCCTATTAAAGGTATACCATTTTTTTGTCTTTTATATTTTCTCCGTATGTTTTCTATGTTTAGATACCCACAGTGTGATATTTGCTTACAGTAATCAGTAAAGTCACATGCTCTACAGGTTTGTAGCCTAGGAGCAACAGGATTAACATATAACTTAGGTTTGTACTAGGCTATATCACCTCCGTTTGTGTAAGAACACTCTATGATGTTCACACAACGATGAAATCACCTAATGATGCATTTCTCAGGAGGTATCCCCATTGTTAAGTGACACATGACTCTACATTACTCTTATGCTTCAAAAGCTTTCAAGAGAGCTATTGTCATCCACATTTTAAAGACAAAGAAGCTAATATCCAGAAAAAAAATGCAAAAAGTAAATAACTTGCCCACAGTCATGTATTTCCTAAGTGGGGGAAATCAAAACTCAAATGTTGACCTCCTAAATCTTCTCTGTACTATGTTAAGTTTCTTGAGAACAAGGAACTATGGGTTATTTATTTTGCTATTTTCTATTACACCTAGTAGCATAATGGAATCTAATCAGTGTTGAAAAAAGTTTGTTGAATAATAAACTACTGTACTGTTTAATTGATTTATGGCACGTGGTTGTAGAGTCACTTTAAAGAAATGTTAAGAATCCAATGTCCTATTAAAACTTTATGTAGGACCTAGAGGAAATAGGAAAACAAGAACAAAATAACCCCAGAGCTAGCAGAAGAAAATCTGAGACCCAAAAAATCCATACAAAGGATCAATGAAACCAAAAGTTGGTTCTTTGAAAGAATAAACAAGATCTACAAAGTGCCAGCTAGATTAACAAGAAAAAAGAGCGGAGATCCAAATAAGTGCAATCAGAAATGACAAAGATGACATTACAACCGATCCCACAGAAATATCAAAAAATCTTCAGTAAGTATTATGAACACCTAGCACATGAAATAGAAAATCTAGAGGAAATGAGTAAAATCCTGGAAACACACAAGCCCCCAAGATTGAGTCAGGAAGATTTGAAACCCTAAACAGACCAATATCAAGTTCCAAAATTGAAACAGAAGTAAAACACCAACTGACCAAAAAAAGCCCCAGACCATACTGATTCCCAACCAAATTCTATCAGATGTACAAAGAAAAGCTGGTACCAATCCTACTGAAATGATTCCAAGAAACTGAAATGGAAGGACTCCTTCCCAACTCATCCTATGAATCCAGCATCAACCTTTTAGAAAAAGCTGGCAGAGACAGAAGGAAAAAAAAAAAACTACAGGTGAATATCCTGATGTACATAAACACAAACATCCTCAGCAAAATACCAGCAATCCGAATCCAGCAGCACATCAAAAAGTTAACTCACCACTATCAAACAGCTTTTACTTCTGGAATGACACAAGGTTGGTTCAATATACATGAATCAATAAATGTAATTTACCACATAAACAGGATTAAAAACAAAAAAATATGATCATCTGAATAGGCAAATAAAAAGCTTTTGATAAAATCCAATATCCCTTCATGATAAAACCTTAAATAAACTAACCATCAAAAGAATGTACCACAAAATAATAAGAGCTATCTATGAGAAACCCACAGCCACCATCATACCAAACAGGCAAAGCTGGAACCATTCCCCTTGAGAACTGGAATAAGTAAAAAAAAGTCCACTCTCTCTCACCACTCCTTTTCAACATAGTACTGCAAGTACTACTCGGAGCAATCAGGCAAGAGAAAATAAAAAAAAAAAAAAAGCACCCAAGTAGGAAAAGAAGAAGTCAAATAATCTCTCTTTGCAGACAATACAATTCTATACCTAGAAAACTCTAAAGACTTGCCAAAAGGCTCCTTGAACTGGTAAAAAAAAACTTCAGTAAAGTTTCAGGATATAAAATCAATGTACAAAAGTCAGTAGCATTTCTATACATCAAAAACATTTAAGCTGAGAGCCAAATCAAGACTGCCATCCCATTTACAATAGCCAAAAAAAAAAAAAAACCCTAAGAATACATCTAACGAAGGAGGTGAAAGATATCTACAAAGAGAACTATAAAACACTGCTGCAAGAAATCAGAGATGACAGAAACAAATAGAAAAACATTTTACACGTATGGATTGGAAGAATCAACATCATGAAAATGGCCATATTGCCCAAAGCAATCTAAAGATTAATGCTATTCCTATCAAACTACAAACACCATTCTTCACAGAATTAGAAACAACTATTTACAATTCATATAGAAACTAAAAAGGGCCTGAATAGGCAAAGCAATCCTAAGCGAAAAGAACAAAGTCAGAGGTATCACATTACCTGACTTCAAACTATACTACAAGGGTACAGTAACCTAAACAGCATGGTACTGGCAAAAATAAAAAATAAAAAACAAAACAAAAAAAACAGACACATAGACCAATGGAACAGAATAGACCACAGAAATAAAGCTACACGCCTACTACCATTTGATCTTTGACAAAACTGACAAATATAAGTAGTAGGGAATGGCTCCTCTTTTCAATAAAAGATGATGGGGTAACTGGCTAGCCATATACAGAAGAATTCAGCTGGACCCCTACCTGTCATGATATACACAAAGGTAT